ATGAATACTATAAAGAAAACTATAAAATTTTTAGGCATCTACTAGCCGTCTTCCTGCGGAACGGGCTCGGGAACTAACTCCTCATGTTCTGAAATGGTTAAGTAAGGAATGAGCTACACTAGCCCAATAAAGATGTCACACTATCTCACTGTCACAGAAGCAAAAGTTGGTAGAAAACAAAAACGACCAATGGAGCATAATTTATAACAAATTCATTTATCAATAATAAAACCATTTACTGTCTACTTACCTCGGTGAGATTCATGGAAACAACTTATGAAAACAATAACATTATAACATCATGAAATCATATGCACTCTGTAACATAACACATGTCATACTTTTAATATCTCAATTATCAAGTAACAAATTCCCTCTTTTACCAGCCTACCAGTATCCATGAGGATCCATAGAGGTCCCCGCTACACGTGAATCATTCACCTTAATAACTTAACTCCAGGGTCGTCCCCATACCCCGTTTGGTATGGGTGCCAAAATCATAAACCTCAATACCCCGTCTGGTATGAGCATCAAAATATTTAAAGTCTCCATACCCCGTTCGGTATGAGAGACAACGTTCCCGGTAGGGTTCCCTATGGACCCGGTCCGTCCACCATTTCCCATGATATCTAGTGAGGCTATCGACTTATCCATTTATCAATTCACATACCTTTTCTATTCTTTTCTTAGTTTTCTGTTTCTCACATAATCATGAATATTTAAATCAGTAACGAGCATCCAACAATGCAGGCATATCATCGGATTCACAAAATCAAGCAGTAGTGAAGTAAACAGTGATTCACGCATTTAAAACTATAAAATAAATAGATCAGACACCATAATGCCTTTAAAACTGTAAAATAACTAAAACAGTAACTGATCGAAAATATATCATATTTGGGCCCCATTAGTAACCTTAATTAATTATACATATCTATTAATTCATAAAATACCGTTTTATCATTTATTAAGCTTTAATACCATGATACGAAATAGGGTGAGAGATCCTTACTTGATTCGAAGTCTAAAATCGATTTTTCACTGTGCCTACGGGTTGTCCCTAGATTCCCAGAATTTTTCTCCGGGAACTGAAACACACTTCCGGTACCTGCATATGTCCCCAAAAAACTCCAAATCAGACCCAGGGCCTCCTCAACCAATTTTGGAATTTCGGCACGGCGACGATCCGCCTCGGGTTGGCTGTTTTCGGTCGAATTCAGCCAAAATAGCACCAGTTCCTACGAGGAAACACATGTAGGGCCCTCGGTGGGCAAAAAAATACAAAAAATCGAGACTTACCGGCGGCGGAGCTCTCGGGTGCGGCGGCTCCTCCGGCGCGAGTCGCGATTTGGCGTTTTGCTCCGGTCAACCTGTAGAGGAAAGGACGGTGGTCACAGTGGTGTAAAAATTACATTGAACGGGAATCGGGAAGGGCCTCATCGGAGGCAAAAATCGAAAAAACCTACGGCGGCGGCGCTGGGCTTTGGTGGTATTTTTCGGCCAATTAGCCGGTGGTTTGGCTCCGGTTTGACCACAGGTGGGTTCAACATCGAAATCCGAGCCAAGAGGAGAAATTTTACTTCGTTTGGTGGCCGGAAAGTGCTCTGGTACGGCGGCGGTCGGTTCCTCCGGTGGCTGGGCTGTCTTCTCCAGCGAGGGCTCTGGCGGCTAGGGTTTGAGGTTGGTTGTGGATGAGATTATTTATAACCTTCCCCTTTTAATCTGAGCCGTCCATCACGATTTAATATGGGTCGTCCGATCGCGATTAAATATGAAATGAATCTGGACCGTCCATCGCGATGCGATCTGGGCCGTCCGTGCGTAATTCAATCTGGGCTGTCCGAACGCGCGTTTGATCTGGGCCGTCCGTGCGCACGGGAACGGATCTCAGCCGTCCGATTGCGCGCACGCGGATTGCCCACGTGGCTCCGTGCTACGTGGCCTCCCGCGTCAGTGTCTCTGCCACGCGGCGTGTCCTGATTGGCCGGGGTTGCTGACCGAGCTGCTGACGTGGCGCAATTTTTCTAAATTGCGTTTTGACCTCTAGTTTCCGATTTTCTTTTCAAAAATACCTTCAGAATCCGAATTTTCACCCCTTTTTCCCAAAATTATTTTCAATTAAACCTCAAAAATAATTTTACCCATTTTTATCATTATTATTATTTTTATTTCTATTTAATTAAATTAAACTAAGTTAAAACCATATATTATTCTTAAATAATCATTTATTTCATTTAAAATTTATAA